GGCCAGTGCATCCCTCTGCGCACTTCCTGTGGCTCCTCTGGCTGCCTTGGACACCTCCGATAGAACGCCTTCCTCTGGGTCACCACGTCCTCCTAGCTTCCCTCCATCCCTCTGATGAGGTCTTTCCTTTGCTCCTCCACCAGCATTGCCTGAGTGCTGACTTTGATTCATTTTCGGGGTGGGGGGGTTTTCAGCAGTTCTGAGCTGCCACCCTCCCCTGCCAGGTAGGAAACACTCAACGTGTTTGTCAAATAACGGAGTGTAAGTGCTGGTCCTTCTCCGTTCTCCCGCAGTCCACAGGGCTAGGACCTTACCCATTGCCTTGATCTTAACAATGTCTCCGCACATCCAGCACGGTGTGGGGCACACAGTAGGTCTTCAATAACTATTTATGAACAACCGGGTAATCATTCCTCACCAGGTTGTGCCAGCTCTGTGAAGGCAGGCAAATGACTTAATCTCTCCAAGCTTCAATCTCTTTCTGTGAACCCTGGGATTAGAAATAGCCTCTCCCTCATAAGAGTTGCTTTGGGAATAAAAAATACGATAATGCACGTGAAGTGTTTAGCACACAGTAAACATTAACTGCCGTCATTGTGGCTTTGATTGTGGGTCCTTGTGTGACTTCAGGGGAGCTGTTGAACTTGCCTAAACTTCAGTACTGCCACATTCAATAATCACTCCCCTGCTGGCTGCCGGGAGGGTCTGGCAGATAGTGAGTGTGTAATAAAGGCTAATTGTCTCTCCCCTAGCTCTCTCTGCCCCTCCTCCCCCCCAGACCCCTGACCGCACCGGAGTGTTTCATCCCCGGAGGGGCTGAGGGGGTGACAATGGGTAGAAAGTGTTGGGAATGGTGGCTGAGCTCTCAGGCATTGTTCAGGCATTGTTTCGAAACAAAGAACATTCCTTTTAACCTTAGGAGGATCTACATCCCATTAGCACTCGTTCCCTTCCACTGTGCCTTCCTGAAGAGATTAGCTTTGGCTAATATTGGAAGAAATACAATTAAGGACAAAGTGTGAAATCAAACGCAGAGCCGTGTAGAGTCACCTCAAACCAGTTTGGGAAAGCCTACCATTCCTGGATATTGCCTCTAAGTTTGGAACCAGTCTGAATTCTCCCCTGAAGGGTCTAGAATAGAGAAAGATTCCTGCCCCAGCCTTCCTGGTGGGTGGTAGTCTTTTTAGTTTTATTTATTTGTTTATTTTCTCAGTGGCTCCCTGTTCTCCTCCCGTGAGCCAGTTTCTACCCGTCTCCTTTGAAATAGGCCTGTCATGGTCCATACCCTTAAAGAGGAAGCCTTTTTAAAATATATATATATTTTATTGATTTTGTACAGAGAGGAAGGGAGAGAGATAGAAACATCGATGAGAGAGAGTCATCGATCAGCTGCCTCTTGCACACCCCCTACTGGGGATATGCCCGCAACCAAGGTACATGCCCTTGACCGGAATCGAACCCGGGACCCTTCAGTCCCCAAGCTGATGCTCTATTCGTTGAGCCAAACCGGTCTCGGCAGGAAGCCTTTTTTGTAAAGCTACCAGTGCTATGGTAGATGGCCTTGGGGGACTCCCGTCAGCACTCTCTGACCTCAGCGTTATTTATTGTTGGGAAGAAATGCTTTGAGAGTCCTTAGTGGGTATACTAAAAATTATCATAGACCCAGCCAGTCACAGGCTATGGCAAACCAACCACAGAAAACCCCCGAACACAACTTTTTTTTTTGTCCTCTTTCCCAAGCTCTGGGCCAATGTGTCTTAAAGACCAGCAGAGACGTGTAACTATTTACATATCCCAGCTGTGAGGCCAACGTATTAGAGCCGGAGTGTGGAAACCTTGTTCATTTAAACATTTGATTATTTTTATAATCTGGATCACCTTGGTTGCTTCCAAATGGACTCTGTTCTAACCGGTTTGGCTCAGTGGGTGGAGCACTGGCCTGCGGACTGAAGGGTCCCGGGTTTGATTCCTGTCAAGGGCATGCACCTGGGTTGCAAACTTGATCCCTGGCCCTGATCAAGGTGAGTTAAGAAAAGCAATCAATTGATGTGTCTCTCTCACATCAATGTTTTCTCTCTCTCACTCTCTCTCTCTCCCCCCCCCCCAAAAAAAAAAATCAATGGAAAAATATCCTTGGGTGAGGATTAACAACAACAAAAATAACACTTCCTTCCTCTTTTACACATTTCATCCCTAAACAAAACCACGCTGGGAATCCCGTGGGATGGCCATTAATTCCTGCCGGCAGTGTCCTAGGGAAAAGCCAACGTCAGCATTAGCTTACTCTTCCTGGTGTATTCCAACCCAATGACAAGCTCTTCCCTTCCCTCACCATTTCTTGATTCTTTGTTTAATCTATAACATAGATCCCACAATGGCACAACTCCTTAGGTTAGCTCAGAGGACCCATGTGTGTCAGGGTCAAGCTCTGCCTGACTTTATGGAAAGACCGCCCCCCTGACTTCCTAACCCTAGGACGTGAGCCCTAGTTCCCCTGCGGCCCCCACGGCCCAGCTCTGCACCCCTGAAGTTGAGAGAGGGTTTTCCTACTGAGGAGCACTCTGCTGGTCCCTGGGCTCGCCCCGGTTTAGTGACTCAGACTCACACCTTCTCCCTCAACTCACTTGGGTTCTCACGTGAGTCACTCCAGGGCTGCTGTCCAGCTGCAAAGTGGCAGAATGAACCATTTAAGGTTGTAGTCTCTGCCCGACTCCCCCCCCCCCTGCCGCCCCCCCCCCCCCCCCCCCCCCCCCCCCCCCCCCCCCCCCCCCCCCCCGCCATCCACCGAATTGTGACCTTTGAACCAGAATTCTGTGGATTCTATCTCCCTTTGAATTGAGGACACAGGGTGTGACAGCTTGCGGCGGTGAGAACCTGAAATAAAAGATCAAGAAAAAGACATTAAGGGCTGGATTAAATTATCCTAGGGGCCAGAGCCAAAGACGGTAATTAGCTATTGATAAATGGGTGGTGGTGGATTAAAATCCCAAAGAGGACGGGAATCTGAAGATTCCTCTGAGGCCCAGACAATGAGATAATTAGAACGAGCGATAGCAGCTCCCATTTACCTGCTGGTACGTGGCCAGCGTTCAAGTTTCTGGTTTGGGCTGTGAGCATTCAAAGGCTTATAATTAATAATATCTGCAGTCAGAAGTGTCTTTTCATGTCCCGGTGACGAGCATGTGTCATGATTATCCATGTGTGAAAGAGGTTGGGAGTCTTTCGTTTCCAAAATAATGACTCACACGACAAAGAGTAATTTTATTTTATGACCTGAACAGTAGCAGGGTCACACTGGCAGCTTCCCCGAGGCAACTGGTGAAACGGACCACGAGTTCTGGACTTCTCCACGCCAAAGGAAAAAATTAAACAATGGGCAGCAAAATAAACAAAACAAAACAAAAAAAATGGGAAGCGATGTCCGACAGGGTCTGTGTGTTGACATTGAAGACAGAATCCATCCCATGGGTGACTCCTGTCCTCCTGGGTGGCTCGGGTGTTCCTTCTGGCCTCTGGGAGAGTCTGTGAGGGGACCGTCTGTGAGGGGACCGTCTGGGAGTGAATCCTGGCAGTTCTACTCTTCATTATCGGTGGAACTTTGCAACACAGATCAGGATGGGGTGGGGGGGGGTGTCTTCCTGTGCCTCAGTTTCCCCTTCTCATAGGGCAATCAGCAGTACCGCCTTCTCAGAGCTGCTGTGGTGTTGTATAAGGAAAATGCTTAGAAGAATGCCTGGTGCACAAGTAGTCAAGTTTAGCTCTTAGCAGTCCACCTGGCTGCCAACCACAAGCATTTTTTTTTAGAAGGATTGATTTACTTATTTTTATTGATTTCAGAGAGGAAGGGGGGGATAGAAGCATTAATGATGAGAAGCATTGATTAGTTGCCTCCTGCATTCCCCCGCCCCACCCCCTTGCCCTGGGGATTGAGCCCACAGCCCAGGCATGTGCCCTTGACCGGAATTGAAACTGGAACCCTTCAGTCCGCAGGTTGACCATGCAGACAGCCTAAGCAGCTAGGGCTACAAGCATTTCTGACCTCACACTTTAGGATGAGCTAAGGTGCCAGTCCAGTGATGAGTGGGACTTGGAAGCCGCCTTTTATTTTCCTTGTGGCCAGAGACCATTTCCTGGCCTCGCTGAGCCCCTATTGTCCCCATGCTTGGACAGTGAAGGTGAATAACATGCCTCCCAGCGCTCCTCTGGGGCTTGCCATAGCCCATGCAGAGGGCCTGGCACCTGGTAGCAGTAGGCAAGCAGCACCATTTGGTTTCTATGCTCTCCCCCCTTCCACTCTGCCATGGGGCAGGACCCCTGGGCTAGAATGGAACAGGTGATGGCATGGGTTAATCAATGTTAGCAGGGATTCTTCCTAATCTTCCTCCCAACCCCCAGTCCTTACCTCACCCTGGTCTACTTAACTGTTCTCTTTAATCTCTCTAGCACTCCTTGGTCCCTGAGAAGATCACTGCTCACCAGCTTACCGCCCTGGCGTTTCATTCTTTCAAGGATCAACTCTGGCCTTATCACCCACCTCAGGCAGCATCTCATAACCCTGGTAAGTTCAAGGCCTTAAAGGCCCCAAACCCCATTAACAAAGCCCCTGTCCCTTCTTGAGTCATGTCTTCTCCCATTTTTGTAAGCTCCCTCCCTGAAGGGCCAGATTCCCTTCCGCGGTCACTGATGACCAAGAGAACGATGAAAACAAACAAAACACTCACAAACTTTAAAGATTTGGCTCATGATATATATTTGCCTGATATTTTATTTTTTTCTAAAAACAATAAAAAAAAAATCAACGATAAAAAGGAACATATATTTAAATAAAAAAAATTGTTTTATAATACATTTGTAATTTTGAATAAATGTTATAAACGTCTTATTAAAGTTATTTACATTAAATGATTGGGTGTATGTACAGGGATAAAAACGGGGTAAACTTGAGATTAAAAAAAAAATTCTTAAATACAAATCTGTTAAAGGGGAGGGGGAAAAAAGAAAAAGGATGGCAAGCATAAAAACTGTTCTTTTATGCCCAAAGTTCCATTTGAGGCAGTTTACATTATGGCTAAACCTTTCAGTCTGAAGACCCAGCCACGGTTGTGCGGTTTGCACTTGACCATGCAGTTGCAACGAGCTCACGTGTCCAATGACTTCTGCAAGGACGCGGGGAGGAACCTTTTCCCGTCCTTTTCCCTTCGAACCCCAGTCCCCTCCTCCCTCCCGGAGGTCAAGTTCTATGCACATGAGTTCCGCAGCTGCTCGAGTTTGTGTTTCAACTGTTCCCGCCGTTTCCGCAAGAAGTCCTTCTCGGACAGGAGCTTCTGCTCCTCGGCCTGGACGGCCAGGATGTAGGCCGTGGCTTTCTTGAGGATCACGACCTTGGGGGCCTTCTCGTTGTTTTCCAACTCGGGGATCTGGTCGCGCAGCGCGAAGAAGCTGCGCTTCAGCTCGTTCCTCCGCTGGCGCTCCAGGACGTTGTGCGTCCGCCGCTTGTCGTTCTCCTCCGTGTCCGAGGACCGGGGGCTGGCGCACCGGCGGTTGTTGCTGATCTGCTTGAGGACTCGGCCACTGTCCAACTTGGCCCTCTTGGCGGCGGGATAGTCCTTCCTGGTGGAGGGGGGCGCCGCGTAGTTGTGCTGGTGGGTGGACACGTGGCACCGCTTCAGCACCAGCGGGCTGTGGGGCGGCCTGCCGTGACCTCTGGAAGACGGGGACCCCGACTCCGACCTTCTGGCCGAGGGCTGCCTCTTTTCCACAGAAACGACATCGATCTCTTCCTCGTCCTCTTGCTCCTCCTCTGCAAGAAAGGACACAGAAGCCACCCGGTTAGCGACAGCATCTCCGTGTTTCAGTGATGGACACAGAAGGCATTGCTTGGGTGGGGAAGGACCGAAGGTGTCCCCGGAGAACCAACTAGCCAATCCTCCCCTCCCACGGAAGGCGGGAGGGAGGACAGCTGGGTTTATGGCACAGGTTAAGAAAATTACCATCTACCTAGGAGGCGGCCTGGGTGCCAATTCTTACCTAAGACTTAATGAGGCTCTGGACACACCCAGCGCCAAGTACATTCCCAAGCACCTCCTTATTTTTAAGGGACTTTACTGAGCGCGCACCGTGTTGCAAAGGAGAGAGCTGCAAATCTCTAGGTGTGAACTTAGCAACTCCCTATTTTTACGGGAAGTTTGAAAAGAAAAAAGGGGGGGGGGGAAGAAGTCTTGCAGCTTTGCCAAAAGCCCTAGGGGATGGGGGCAGGGAGAAAGTTCAATTTGGGAAAGGAGCTGCTTTTTAAATGTTCAAACAAGAGGCAGCATCCAAGTCCTCAGCTCTTTGGCTCCTGGGCTCTGAGGCACTTTCACTCCTCCGCAGCCCCAGGTGGGAGACTTGCCCGCAGGCCTGGGCCCAACGCCCCTCGCCCCATCCACAGCCATCACATTCCAGCAGTTTCCCCGAAAGGGAGCGGAGGCAATTCTTTCCCTCTCAAAGACATCAATCCTCTTAATCTCATTCACACTTCCCCCTTCTCCCCGCCCCCCCGCCCCGGGGCAATTAAAATGCTTAAGAAAGGTAAGAGGGAGTGGATTGAGTTGCAAGATAAACCAGGAAGATTTAAAATCCCAATGAAATTCCTGAGGGGTGGGAGGGGAGGGGTGAGGAGGGGCTGGCCACTAGGGCGGTCTGAGGAGATGGAAGGGGAAGGGGTTAGAAGGGAGGGGAGGGAACAGGAAAGCCCAGTGCTTCTGGGATGATGGAGCTCCCAGACCTGCCACTGAAGACAGCCGGACGCCCCTCTCCCCCAACCCCTCCCCCTCTGTCAGGCTGCAGGGCCCCCCCTCACCGGAGTCGCTGCTGGTGGTGGGCGGGGTCTCCTCGTGGAGCGCCAGGGGCTCGGGGCTGGCCCGAGGGGAGGAGTCGGTGGAGGAGAGCAGAGAGTCCGAGGACGGGGAGAAGGCGGAGGAGTCCGGGGAGGCGCAGGGCTTGGGCGAGCTGCCGTCGTGCAGCGGGTAGGGGAAGACCACGGACGGGTCGATGCACTCGGAGGCGGCGGCGCTCAGGTCCTGCAGGTAGAGGCTGGAGGAGGAGCAGGCGCCCTGCCCGCGGGCGGGGCTCCGGCCGCCGCTGTCCTTGCGCGCAGCCTGGTAGGAGGCCAGCTTCTCGGACACGAGCTTGGCGGCGGCCGAGAAGCCGCTCCACATGCAGTCCTGGATGATGATGTTCTTGATGAAGGTCTCGTCGTCCGGGTCGCAGATGAAGCTCTGGTTCACCATGTCCCCGCCCAGCAGCTCGGTCACCATCTCCAGCTGGTCGGCGGTGGAGAAGCTGCCGCCGCCGCCGCCGCCGGCGTCCACCTCCCGCGGCGAGAAGGACGCGAAGGCCACGTAGGAGGGCGAGCAGAGGCCGGAGCGGCGGCTGGGCGACAGCGGCGGCGTGGGCAGCAGCTCGAACTTCTTCCAGATGTCCTCGCTGGGCGCGGGCGGCTGCAGCTCGCTCTGCTGCTGCTGGTGGTAGAAGTTCTCCTCCTCGTCGCAGAAGAAGTAGGGCTGCATCGAGTCGTAGTCCAGGTCGTAGTTCCTGTTGGCGGCGAAGCTGACGTTGAGGGGCATCGCGGCGGCCTGCACACAAAGGGGGTCGATCTTGAGTTAAAGGGGGGCGTCTAGGCGGGGGCCTCACTCACCCCCCGGGTGCAGCGCGCGCCGCAACCGTGAACCATCCATTCCCCTTCCAGCGCGATCCCCCCCAAAACGGGCCGGTGGCTGGAGCGGCGGGGGGGTCGGAGGTCAAAGGAGCGCCCTTGCACCCCCTCCGGGAGACGCCCCCTATTTGGGGAGCCAGCTGCGGGGTGCCAGCGGGACTTTTGTTCCCCGGGAGCCCCGCGCGCCCAGCCCGAGGTCCGGCGCCGCAGCGGAGAGCAATGGACACGGGCTCCGGCCCCGGGGGAGGCGGCGGCGGGGAACGCACTGTGCCCAAACCCCAAAAGTTTTGGGGCACCTGGAGGAGGAGGCGAGGGGCGCTGCGGCGGCGGGAGCGGGTGCCTGCGCCCCTTCCCCGGCGGGCGCCTCCGCCCCTCCCAGCCTCCCTCTCCTCCTCCTCCTCCATCCCCACCCCCAGCGCCCTCCTCCCTCCCTCCTCTGCCAGCTTTTCTTCTCTTCCCTCGCCGCCGGCTGGTGCGGTGAGCCCCGCCGCGGGCTTTAACACCCCCCCGCCCCCCAATAAATAAAAGGGGTGCATTGGAGAATACCAGAGGCGCCTCCCTTCAACGCCCCATACGGCCACGCAACTGCGCCAGCGACCCCGCGGCGATCCCGCGCCCGGAGCGGGGCGCCCTCCCTCCCCTCCCGCCGCCCGGGGAGCAGCTGTTCGGGGAGAGCCCGGCTCCGCGGCCCCCCTGCGTCTCCGGGGCGCGGGGACCCCGGCCGGGGAGCCCCGGCTGGGCGCGGAGCTTTGCCCCCCGTTTTCTAAGTCAATGCGTCCAGGAGAACCGGACCCGTCCCTGCCCCCGAGCCTCCTTCCCTCCCCGCCGCCCGCGCCTCCCCAACCCCGAGTCCGAACAGCCGGGCAGGCACGCCAGGACATTTCATTTTATTCTTTTTAGGAGCCCAGTGCCCACTTAGGAGACGGGGCGGGGGCGGATCGGGAACGCCGCGGGGACCGGCGGGCTGGACGCGCCGCAGTGGCTGGGGCTGTCAGAAACGCAGTGAGAAAAAAGCCGAAATTTAAATGCCCTTTCGGAGCCGGGGACGTCAGGGGCTGCGGCGCTCTCCCGAGCACACAGGAGAGCGATCCTTCCTCCGAGGAGCTCAGGATGCAAAGGGCTTTCTGCGCTCCACGAAGCACAGCGGCCCCCCACAATCCCCCCCAAAAAAACCACCCCAAAGCAATGAATGCAATAAAAGCAGCAATGTCCAGCCCGCTGGGCTCTGCGTCAATATCCATAGGCGAAAACCTCCAAAGGCTCAAACACAAACACAAAAAGACGCACACCCGTTTTCCCTCTGCTGTCCATCCTCCCCATCTTGACAACTCACTGTATGTACCCCACATCCAGTTCGCCTTCGGTCCCCACCCCACCCCGACCTGCCACCCACCACCACTCCTCCGAGAGAAAGTGTCCATCATCCCGGAACGGGAGAGGAGAGACCCCAGAAAACTCGGGTCGTGGACGCATCCTATCCATAAAGCGGTTAGGAAAGAAAAATAAATTCATTAAAAAAGACAAGTCGATCCGAGGGCTTACCGGGTTTGCCACCCTCCGGAGGAGATCCAGGTTCCCACCGGGGGCCAGGAGCGCCCTTCAGGGGAGCGGGGCGCAGGCGGCGGCCCGGAGGTCTCCCCCAAATAGGCCCCCGGCTCCTGGGAGAGCCGGCCGCGTCCTCGCGCCGGGCTGTTGTAAGTTCCAGGGGAAAGCGCCCGCCCGCGGCGATCGGCAAAGTTTTCGTGGCTGTGGCGGAGGGCTGCGGGTCTCTCCGGCAGGCAGGGGTCGGCGGGCCGGGTGGGGAGGAGGAGGAGGAGGAGGTGAAGCCCCGCTTTCCCTCCGATCTCTGCCCCGGGCGCCCGGAGGGAGCGCGCTCTGACGCTCGGCTTCGCTGGGTGCCCCTCCGGCTGCTGGCGCGCCCGCTCGCTCCCTCTGCCTCTCGCTGGGATTACTACAGCGAGTCCTCCGCTGAGCAGGCTCTTTTATAATGGGGGTTTCGATCCCTCCCAGTCCTTTTTCCCGCCAAGCCTCGGAGTAGCCCAGCCCTTGCCGAGGCGGCGGGGAGGGAGGCAGGGAGGCAGGCGGCCGGGGACCGGGAGCCGCGGCGGCTGCGGCGGCGCGAGGAGCGCAGCCGGGGGCTGTCGGCGGGGCAGACCCTCGCCTATAAAGGGCCGGTGGGCGGGGACTCGCGAGCGAGGATCTTTTTTCCCCCCTCTCCCCCCTCCCCAGCTTTGGGAATCCGGGAGGGGCGATGGTGCGGAGGAAGGAGGGCTGGGGAGGAGACTGAGCTGGAAGCCCGGCGCTCGGGTGCGCGCAGGGATCGGATGTGGATAGATGAGGTCTCTGCAGGCATTCGCCCGGCGCGCCTTCCATTTTCAGACCCGCTCGCTCCCTTTCTCGGCGGCTCCTCGGGTTGGACCGGCCGCTCCCCCGGCCCGCGAGCTCCCATCCTCCCGGGCCGAACAGCCGAGCTCCCGACCCCGGGAACCCAGCGGGCGCCCACGGCCACGGCCACGGCCCCCGCCCCGGCAGGCGCGTCCCCGCGGCTGGGAAAGGGCAGCTCTTGGGATAAGTCCCGCGAAGGGAGGACGAGAGAAAGGGTGTCCATGGGCGCGCGCGGCGTGGGTGCGAGGTGTCAGTGTCCACGGGGCCAGGCGATAGGGGACAGAGGGAGGAAAAGGGATGGATGCCCGGGATCGTGAAAATAACCCCGCAGCCCACTGCCACGTCTGCTGGGAGCGCGCGTTAGGGACAGATGCCCATTGCCTTGGGGGGCGGAGGGGGTATGCCTTCTGTGTGGACAGCGCTCTCTGTTGGGTGCCTTCTCCACCAGCATTAATGTCCCCCCCTTGCCCCCCGGCACCCCCGTGCCCCTCGGAGTTGCAATGCCGCAGCCAGGCTTCAGGAAAATCCCACTGGCGCCCATGGCTCAGGCTCGCAGCACCGGTCCAGGGCAGGGCTCCCAGGTTTGGGGGAAATCAGAGGCGCCAGACGGGAGAATAGTGGGGAGGGGTGGCCAGAGCCGCGAGACCGGACCCCCCAGAAGGGAAAGGGGGGTTGGGGAGGAGAGGCGAGCTCGCGGACCCTGCCTGGGGTACCAGGAGAGAGACTCCAGGGAGGGAAACCGTTAACTCTTTCCTCCTTGGACCAACCGGACGTGTAACTTCCTTCCCGAGCCTCCGGTGCCCTTTATTATTGGGATCCTGATCGCCCACGAAATAATGCATTGGTTCTGATCAGGGGAGAGGAGCCCAGTGTCACTCCCCTGCCCTTTTTTTTGGGGGGGGGTGGTGGGGGGCTGAGCCCATTAAAAATTGGCCGAATTTCAGGCCGGAGTCATTTCCTAGTTCAGTGACCCCACATTTTCTGTTCCGCATGCCTTAGTGAAAGTTCGCATGTACAACCAGTGTACATCTACCGTATGTACATTTCACGTACAATTCGACCCTGAACAAAACGCGACATACAATTTGTTCTCTGTCTGAGCGGATCTGTATTTAATATTTAATGCACCTTGGCTCCGAATTTGCGATTTGGCACTATTTCATCCCCCCCCCCCCCCCAAAAAAAAGGCATTTTAAGTAAACTTTTCCACCTCTCACCCCACCCGCCCCCTTGCATTCCAAAACAGAAAAAAAAAAAATTCGGAGGGGGGTCGCGCGCACCGCGTGTTTGCATTCAAGGTAAATTATTAGCCATTGAGCTCGCAGCTCGGCGTTTGATTGTTGAATGAGTAGCCACTTCCTCCAAATCAGGCGCTCGGCACAATTCGGCTTTAAGGATTGCAAATTGCTCCAGCCTTTGCCGCAAACGCCGGGAGCGACCAATCCCCGGCGGTGGTTTTGCTGCAAAGTATTTCCCCGCCCCCCTCCTCACCTCCCCCCTCCCCCCCTCTCCCGCCTGCCCTGAAGCTTGGTTTGCGAAAGTTAACGTAAGTGTGCCCTCTACTGGCCACTGAGATCACCGCGCCAGGCTGACAGCTTCGGGCTGGGGGTGAGGGTGGGGGTGGGGGCAGGGGCATCCGAAGCTCAAGGTTTGGGGTTGGTGGTGGTGGGGAGGATCCTGAGGCTCCTGAACATCAGTTTGCAGACAGCTCCTCAGAATTCCTGCTGTCGGGCTGCCGAGGGGCGGGAGGAAGAGGGATTCCTACAGGGAAAAGGGGCTTTTAACCACACCAGGGGGTAAAAATGAACCCATCACTCCTTACTGACCATGAACATGACCCTTTGGAGAACCGATGCTATTTATGGGAAACGTGAAGTAATGAACGATTAGGGGTGAGGATCCAGGAGACTTCTAACTTGGGGAAGCGAACTTGAGCCCATCATCTTCCAACTCCCAAGTTTGAAAGCAAGGCACTGGACTGATTGGGGGAGGGGAGGCACCCTGGGCCCAGATGGGAATTTGGTTTTGCATATGATTGCTTTTTAAATTTTTTTTTTAATGGGGCTGATGAGCGGTAGAGAGCTAGATATTGTCATAGTGATGGGGAAGGAACATTTGAGATGTCACTGGAAAAAAACAAGTGTGAAGGATCATTTAATTGAGAGAAAGTTTTTTTACTTAAAAGACAGGGCAAAAAAATATATTTTATTGATTTTTTACTAAAAAGACAAGTGGAAATAAAAGTGGAAGGACTGCACACTGTTTGCTCAGTAGGTGTGAATAGTGCCAGGGTGCCTCTATGGTGAGGAGGGTGTCTGCTCATGGAGACAGCCTCTCAGGAAATCTGGGCAACAGGGAAGAGGCCTCTTGGGGTGCTTCCTCAGGAATGTGGCACCTTGGGCATGGCTCTGCTGGAGGCTGGAGGGCTGCCCCCCACAGGGACAAAAGCACAAAGGAAAACACCCCCAAACCAGCGGCGGCCACCCACCACCAAGGTCGTGTAGCTTGACCTGGGAGGGGAGTGTTAGGAAATTGCTAAAAATGGCAGGTGGGAATACTAAAGGAAGTGAGCCTGCTGGGGACTTGTGAACCACAGGAGACAGCTGGCGTGTGGATTCAGGACTCTACCTCCCTCATTCTCCACCGGCGGGCTGGTGGTGGGCTGGCATTACTTTGAAGTCACAGCTTGGGGTGTTCTGTGCTCCCAAACAAGAGAGGGAGGAGGAAACGGAAAGTCAGATCACAACCAAGTTAAGGGACTTCTCTTTCTTTCTTCCTCCTTTCCTTCCCTCCCTACTTCCCACCTTCTTTCCCTCCCTCCCTCCCTCCCTCCCTCCCTCCTTCCCTCCCTCCCTCCCTCCCTCCTTCCCTCCTTCCTTCCCTTCCTTCTATCCTTCTCTCCCTCACTTCCTTAAGATATTTTAAAGAACCATTTGTCTTAGAATAGACATTTGCTGAGTTAGGAAATGGCTGAGGTGATTACAAATAATATTTGAGATGACCAAAGTGACCCAGAGTGATTGTAAAGGCAAAGATGGAAAGAGAAGAAATAAAGGAAGCAAACTAGAAGACTGACCACCCTGACCACCCAGTGATAGCTATTGGAATTTCTTTTTCTTTTTTTTTTTTCTTCATGTTTTTATGGGTGTTTAGAGAGGATGGGAGAGGAATAGAGAGACAGAGACAGCGAGGAGAGAGGAGCATCATTGATCGGCTGCCTCCTGCACAGCTCCTACCTACTAGGGATTGAGCTAGCAACCCGGGCATTTGTCCTGACCGGGAATTGAACCTCTTGGTTCAGGGTGGACACTCAACTGCTGAGCCACACTGGCTGGGCTGGAATTGATCTTTCAAAGGAACTTTTTATAGGACAACCTCGGTCTTTCTCCTTTTTGGAAGTCAGTGGGTGGTGTCTATTGGCCGGACATTCCTGGTTTGGTGGTCCTGGACACTCCTTTTTAAAAATATATTTTATTGATTTTTTTTTACGGAGAGGAAGAGAGAGGGATAGAGAGTTAGAAAGGTTGATGAGAGAGAAACATCAATCAGCTGCCTCCTGCACACCCCCCACTTTGGATGTGCCCGCAACTAAGGTACATTCCCTTGACCGGAATCCAACCTAGGACGGACCCTTTAGTCCCCAGGCTGACACTCTATCCACTGAGCCAAACCGGTTTCGGCGGTGCTGGACACTCCTGAGCCTGTTTCTCCTTCCTGAGGGCTGCCAGGTTCAGAAGAGGCAAGTCTGAAGGGCAGTGCCAGCATCTCCCACAGCGTGGGGACGCCAGGTAAACAGCCTGTAAGGGTGCCTGATGGAAGACTGCCTGCAGGAGGGTACCCATAAGGCTCGTTCATTCTCACCACGCCATGTTCTCCCACAATCATGCCACTTTCACACGTAGGAAAAAAGAAATGCAGAAAGAATGAGTAATTTGGCCAAACTCTCTTCTTTCCAGAGGCATGAAAGGTGAGATTCAGAATATGTGACTTGTATAACCTATCGCCAGTCCTCCCCTTCTTTGAATATCTCTTCCCCCACCTTCCAGAAAGTTCCCCACTGAGTTGATCTTGGGCAGATAACAGCAGTGACTGATATGGGAAGAAACTGATCAAAAAGCTAGCTCCAACTTGGGGCCCTGTGATTTGAAATCCCCTTCAAGTCTGTGGAGGAAGGCAGGCGAGGGAGAAGAATGATAAATACGTATCTCCCGTGGAAACCTCATTTGGAAAGAAGGGCTGGGAGATTAAAAACCAGGGGATGTGAAAGGAAGGGAGGTTTGCACAAGCATTTCAATGCCAACCACGTGCCCCAGTGCGAGGAGCCCAGGGAAGCTCTTCAACAGAGAAGAAAGGAAAATCCGGCGTCGTTAATTCCTAGGAGGGATCATGGACAGAAAGTGAAGCAAGTCTGAGAGCATTTTTAAAAATGCATCTATTTAGGACATTGCTTCTAGCATGGTGCAAACATTAAAGCAGTTAAGAAGGAAAAATATTAAAAATTTCCCCCCTAAAATATATTTTTATTGATTTCAGAGAGGAACATCAATGATGAGAATCATTGATTGCTTCCTGCACGCCTCCCAGGCATGTGCCCCTGACCAGAACCAAACCCAGGACCCTCCGGTCCACAGGCCAGTGCTCTCTCCACTGAGTCAAACTGGCCAGGGCGTGCCCCTTCTTGATTTGTCCAAGAACCACCTTTCCTCTGAGACCCAGCTAACGCCCCATTTTCTCTGTGGAGC